GGGCTTGGACCTCATTCTTTGTATCATGAGCAACTAGCAATATTATATAAAATATTGTAATATATGATAAGCAGTTAGGAACATGAAAGGCGATGAGATTAATAGGTTAATCGATTAATCGATTTTAATGGGAGAATAATTTCCCAGAGCAATTTCTCCCGATATTTGAAGAAGTTTGTTCCTTCGAAAAGGGGCAGGACCCTGGACCTGGCTTGGCCGTGATTTGGCCATGATTTGGCCACTGAATCGGTCCGAGCGATGCCGGAACGCTCCTCCGGTTTGGCATCCGGCCATGGGATGGACGTGGCGGCGACCGGAGGGCAATCGGGGGGCAATCGGGGGGCAATCGGGGGGCAATCAGGGGGCAATCGGGGCAATCGGGGGCAATCGGGGGATTGCAGCTCGATTCGATCGAGAAAAGAAAGGGGGGAACTTGGTTGAGAATTGCAAATACCGAGTAATTAATAATAATAATATTATTATTATTATTTTAATAGGCTGGGATGGTCTACGTTCCCACGACGTTTTTCGCTCTGATGCGAGGAATTCCCGTTAATTTTTTTTCCAAAAAATTGTTACAAATTTTATCCAATCAAGAACTGGATATTTAATCGCGAATTCTTTCGATCTTCATAGCTTGTCGGCGGGAAACAAACTCTCATTAGTATGAAAATTACTTTTGAAAATTACTTTTAAAATTACTTTTAAAATTACGATGAAAATTCCATTGAAAATGAATTCGTATAGGATAGAGCGGATGTGCCTTGTTTCCTATATGGGGCGTTGATGAGCTTATTGCGATGATAAGGGCCGTGAATTCTCCGCGATTCGCGTTGGAATTTGCATCCTCAGATTAGCTTCACCGATGGCAAAAAAAAAATGCGTTTCCGAGATTTTTTGTTGAACGCCGCCCATCACAGGCATTTGGGGAATGCGCGCCCGGTGCGCACGGAGCGTGTCGGTTGGGGCCGACACGGGTCGGCCGACGTCGGTCGGCACCTGTTCATCCTCGAGGATGAACAGCCTCGCTTTATCTATATGATCCGGAGGGAACAATCCATAAAGGAGGCAATTTTCCGCGTCACGGCCAGGTCCTTTTGCATGCGTCGCACGTCATCCGTGTACATGTCCTCGGCGAGGGTGTGTTCTCGGGGATCCACCTCAACTACAACCACTGTGTCTTTTGTCCTGGAAGCCTAATTTTATGCGGAGCTGGTGACACGCGGGTGAGTTCCCTTTCGATTTCGTCGCTTCGGTTTCGCTGCGGGCGCAGTTTGCAGTGCGAACGCGTTTTGTTGGCGCATGGTGACTTTTGCACAGTCTCGCGGGGAGGGAAACAGGAGGCGCACGGCGGATCGATAGCCTCCTCGCTCTCTTATTCATGTTGGCCTTTCCTGATTCCTGCAGTGCAGAGATACACGGTATGTTTCTCTCGGTGCCGCAGATTTGAAGGAGGATGTCGCGCCCTCTGTTTTCGAAGTGGATGGAGAAGGTGGAGTCGGCGGCGAGTTTGCCGAAGGGGAGTCTCATGCGGGAGCTGCTCTCGGAGTTCCTGGGGACGCTCGTGCTCGTGGTAGGTGGAAGGGGGGAGGAGGGCAAGGAGGGCGGTGGGTGAAGGACAGGGGAGCAGGAGGTGAAGGGCAGGGGGGCAGGAGGTGGAAGGCGAGGGGCAGGTGTGAGATGCGGTCTCTTTGCAGTTGGTCGGGGACGGGAGCGTGGCCCAGTGGGTGTTCATGAACAAGGAGGCTGGGGGGTTCCTCGGTGTCAACATATGCTATGGGCTGGCCGTCTTCCTCGGAGTACTCATCGCCGGCGGCGCTTCCGGTGCTTTTTTTTCAATCCTTGTCTCGTGAGGGTCTGATTATGCTCGATATCACTTCGGAATGGTTCGTTCAGGTGCGCATCTCAATCCGGCCGTGACGGTGGCCATGGCGACGATCGGCAAGTTTTCCTTCGCTCGAGTCATCCCTTACATTGCTGCTCAACTTCTGGGCGCTTTCGTCGCTGCTGGTCTTCTCTTCGGCGTCTATCGAGGTAAATGCCCCCTCCCCCTAAATATTGAAACATTAAATATAAAATATTTCCCAAATATTAAAGATAAGAACGTCATCCCAAGGCCGTCCGTAAAATACGATTACCATAAAAATTCCTCACGGTCCGAAACTTGGCAGAAATTTTCTGGCTGTAATTGCTGCACCCGATGTTAAACGAATTTTTCCGAAGTAAAATTAGCAAGACATTCATTTGTGCTTTTTTTCTCCGAGTGTATTAAAATAAGCGATTTTGATATTACCAGCGTAAAAAACTTATTTCATTGGGCTGGGGTACTTCAAGTACCCCCTCTGCAGAGAGTGACCTTGGTAACGGAAGGGTGAATCGGTTTTCGAAATCGCACCTGCTCGTACGTAGATATAGCTCTCAACTGAAAGGGGGAGAAAATATTATCCCTGAAAAGGGAAGAGGAAAGGGAGGGAAAAGGGAGGGAAAAGGGAGGGGAAAGGGAGGGGAAAGGGAGGGAAATGGGAGGGAAAAGAGAGGGAAAGGGGAGGGAATAAGGGAGGGAAATGGGAGGGAAAAGGGAGGGAAAATAGAGGCGAAAAGAGAGGGAAAAGGGAGGGAATAAGGGAGCAATAAAGCCACTCTGGAGACTTGTGGCATGACCCCAATATAAATCTAGCGACGTACAAGAATATCATGATATTTTTTTATTACATAAGCAGATAGTTGAACGATAAGATACGTGGTAAACTTCGCACTGCAACAAATGGCTCCATGAGACAAATTTTTTTTTTTTTTTTGATGCCA